GAGAGAGAGAGAGAGAGAGAGAGAGAGATGTGTGTGAACTGTTTTATTACGTGTTTACTGTTTTTGTACACTATTTGACCCTATTCGATTTTTTAGAAAATAATTTGAGAAAAGCACCAATGGCATTTGATGTTGACGTGGCTTTAAAAACAAATTAATGATTTTATTCAGGCAATTTAATTGTACTTCCTAATTATTCTGATTTCAGGTGGAGAACTAGATCCTCTGAGTCGTCGTGTTTTGGTTGCTTCTAACGAAGAATTTGCAAAGAAGATCATTCCACATCTCAAACAGCATTATCCAGAACGTGATTGATTACTCAAAATTCCAATGTTAAATCAAATGTCAAATTAATATAATTTTCTAGGTTGTAGTATCAATGTCATTATTGTCACAACCAAAGAAAACGCCAAACAAATGTCTCCAGTTGTAATAATTACAGATTAAATATTCATTTGAAGTTGGAAGTTGGTAATATTAATTATTTTTCTACTTTTCCTAAAATGTTTCCTGTGCAACTTACAGTTTAAGTTTAGCTGTTGTTTTCGAAATAACACATTTAAGAAATGACATGGAATCATTACCCGCATTCAAACAGCGACAAGTAGTCCTCAACTTCATTGGTAGCAAACGAAAGTGTTAGAGATTCCGCGGTTAGAGATTCTTCGGGCCAAAAGGGATTCCACACAGGCTCAGAACCTTGAGAACCGTTGCTGTGCCATAATACTGTGACGTCATGGATACTCATAACGAACACAGACACAGAGCTTTCATATAACAAATATTTATTTACAATTACAACACAACAAAGATTTACAATGAATTTACACTTTACACCCTAGCTCTGATAGATCTGCTATCCCCTGATCGCGGGAGCGATCCCAACCCGATTGATGATCGGTTTCAATTGTGGCACTTGCCACTCCTATATCCGAAGCGAGCACAAAGCCAAGCTTCCATGACCGGATGTCACACTGGGACACAAAGTCTGTACCGGTGTATCAACTGATGGTTTGCGTCGATCGCAGGAGCGATCTTACCCGAGTGAGAATAGGCTGCGAGTCGTGGCACTCAACCACTCCTCACCTCGGAGCACGCACACAGCATAGCTCCCACGAGACCGCAGTCACCCAAGGACATAAAGTCCTCCACAGGCTCATCAACACGTAACTTGCCTCACGAGCTCTGCTCACCACTGCACCGTTGTGACGCCAAATTTGTGCATTCGCATGAGGTTCTCCCACTGTCTCCAGAACCCACCCACTGCCTCGCGCTATGCAGCGCAGTTCCGTGTGGCCGCAGTAGTGCAATGCCGCCACACTTTCCTGCTGTGTAGCCATCCCTATCCTTTCGGATATCTATGACTGATCTGTAAAAAGAGACCAAAAACATGGTCAGGAAAGACAATAGCCGTTCGGCG